GGAACGTTATTCGTCTTCCATGCGTGAATAGCGAAGGAACAGGCATGCGACTTACAGTTAGCACTGTATAACGCACAGGACATCGCAAAGGTCACGTCCCATCATGTTGGTTCTCCAACGTTGGGTTTATGGGTTTTCAGGGACATCACTGTAAGCCGTTTATACTCTTTATCGAAGACGAATGTGCGAACAACAAAAAGTTTCTACGAAGTAATTTCGAACATTTAGCGTTGCAGAGCCTCATAACTACTTCATATAGCGGTTGCACAATGTCGATTTTGCCTTCGGGAAAAATTTGTGGTCACAAAAACAATGCAATCGTTTCAAAGGCGATGGTTTCGAGACTTGCGCAGTATAGAAACTGAAAATCTCGGTATTCCTTTTTTCTTTTTTTCAGTCGAGCACCGTGATGCAACGGTTCCCAAACCGGAACTTCGATGCGCTAGTTCCGGGTCGGCAGCAGAGAAGGCAACAAAGGTGAACCGCAATCCGTTATGCAACAGAGAATAGGCGGAAACACGACCGAGAATGCGTCTACACGCGCCCGCGTTTACGGTGGTTCGTGAAAGACACAACATATTCGAGAACAGGAAACAAGTACACATATACAAGCAACACGCAGGTGTAACAAAGGAGTAGTGGCCATAAATAACACGCTCGTGCCAGGTCCCATCTCTGAAGTCGTGGGTTTCGTCGCACGTTTTTTTTTTTTTTCGGAACCGGGCGGACGAGACTACCGGTTCTTCGCGGTGGTACACCACGTGATGCGTTTTTACGATCGCGCACTAACACGGAAACTCGTCCTTGAAGACTAACAAGCGCTATCCGTATACTGCATGCGACCCTGCGACCCAATATGCATTCCAAGTTACTACTCATGCTTATTATGATTACGGAGCACAGTTAATTCAACGGGGACTTAATGCTAACAGAGAGTGAATCAAGCGAGCCCTTGTTACACCGACAAGTTAACCTCAGTTGCGATCAACCACGGTTAATCGGCTCGAACCGCAGTCTGCGCCTACAACGGTTATTCGATGTTACGCAGCGCGAAAGCGTCCACGGTTAAGGCGGCTAACCCGCATCCTCCACGGACGCCGCAATTACGCGAATAGAGTGTTCAAAGTGTGAATTTGTTCAAAGTGTTCAAAGTGTGAATTACGCGAATAGAGTGTTCAAAGCATTGGTATTTTATTTTTTAACGTTTTGCACGATCACCTTGTCTTAGATATTCTCCCCCATTGCATCACTAATAATCTCAATTCAACGCGCTTTGCCTCACGCCAGAATCTCTTACTTCCGTGTATACACACTAACTACGGCAAACAAACGATTCTATTCTCGGCTATTTCGCTCTGGAATTCACTAACCTCTGATGTTAAATCTTCTAAATCACATTGCATTTTTAAATCCAAACTAAAGACTTTCGTGTTTCTGTTTGATTGAATTGTAACTGGATTATCATGTCTTTTTTTGTTGTGGTATTCATATCCACATTTTTTTTAGATTGACGATGTATTTCCTGTTTTTTAGTGTTCCTACTTATTATTCTAATGGTTTCTTTGTTTTCTTTTGTTTTTTATTCATCTTTCTCTTTTTTATGTTGTGTTTATTTGCTGACAATGTATTTCAGTGTTGCTTGATGATTACCTTTTTTTTTCTTTTTTTTCCACCATGGGAGGTCCCGCCTGCGGTTCTTACCTTGGGACCTCCCAGTGAATCTGTACCCATGCACTTTTCCACGTTCACGCTTGATGAATAAAATTCAAAATTCAACGCCCATCAAAGTGAATCTAGTGTGTCAGGAGCGACGAAAGAGAATGAGGAGCGCCTCACGAAGCATATATGGGCTTCGACATGGGGTTTCCGCAGCTTAGGCTTAAGGGCCCCGGCGACTTCTCGGGATCTCATCAGTGCCACGACGTCGTGGTGAACCAGCACAATGAAACCCGAATTTCCGTTCTCCTTAGCGTCAAAGCGTAAGAAATACGACCTTGGCAGCAGATTCGAAGGCCGAAGAACAGAGATCCCTGAAGGTCACCGTTCTTTTCTTGCGCGATCACAGCCGTGATATACGCGTCACGTAGTACATATACGAAAGCACACGGTCACGACGAGCGTATAGTGGATCGTGATGGAAGCGGACAGGACAAGGACCCGGCAAAGTTCGGGCGTGTATAATAAGACTCTATGCAGGGTGTCCCACGTAACTTTAGCCAGAGTTTAAAAATATGCCAGAACACGTAATTACGACGCCACCGAATTAATGTTGCTCACCACTGCCTGGAGTTAGTCAAACTATATTTTGTGTTCTCGAATACTGTCTAATCAGATCTGTTCAATTACTCACTTTGAAGGAACGAAAATGAATGAATAATTACAATGAGAAAGTTTTAGATCGGTTTGCGGAACGTCCAAACAGATAGTTTTGAACTTTATATCTGTTACGTATTAGTGTTTTTATGCTGATTGCAAATGCCGGCGAAATACAAAAATACCACGTGACGAACCCGCTCGAGCGTCAGCGCGCACGACGATTCTATAGTGCTCCCTAACGTTCCGTGTACGAATTACACGCTTCTCTCGCACCGGTTCATGACAGCGATAAGCAATCACAGCGGTTATCGCTCATGTGGCCGATAGCAAAACGTGTTCATCCTAAAGCCACCACCATCGTTGCAGACACTGCCGAGTCACCACAATGGGACCAATGCTATGGTCATTCGTACACGGAACGTTAGATAGCACTAGGATCATCGTGCGCACTGGCGCACGAGCGGGTTTGTCACGTGGTATTTTTTTGTATTTCGTATTTCGTGGACATTTGTAACTAGCAGAAAAAACATCAATACCTAACAGATATAGAGTACAAAACTATCTATTTGGACGTTTTGCAAACCGATCTACAACTTTCACATTGAAATTCTTTATCCACCTTCGTTCCTTTATAAGTTAGTCACACAGATCTAATAAAAATACTTGAGAACACAAAAAATAGCCTTAGTAACTCCAGGCAAAGGTGAGCAACATGCATTTGGTCGCATCGTAATTACGTGTTCCGGCATATTTTTAAACTCTGGCCAAAGTTACGTGGGACAACCTGTATATACACACGTGTCCCAGACCATTGTGCTTCCTTTCTGTGGGACTGCTTTTCGTTTTTATCTGTTTGAACGGCGAAACTTTTCTTGGCCGAGCAAAAGAATGAAGACAACCACCCATTGTGGCACGAAGCCACAAAGAAATCCGTACGGATTTCTCAGAAAGGAAAGCTTCTTATAGTTGCCGAAAAGTTCATCCTGTGCGGTGGTATGAACCCGGGACTAACGCTTTTCCGGGGCGGTGGCTCTACCCAATTGAGCTAACCATGGCGCTAGCAATCGGCAGCGCGAGGGCGAATTCATCGACAACTCGAAGCCATCTTGTGTCCATGCACTTCAAGTTGTCGATGAATTCGCTGCGTGTTTTTCAGCTGCTCATATCGCGAATTTGGGTAAGCGTTTTCGTCTGTTTTCGCTGCAATATCTATAGAAATGTAGTACTCGAGGTACTAGAAACCTCAACATGCCCCCAGAAAGCAAGGTAAAACAGGACACACAAGAACTTCAGGCGTATGTGATGTGGGTGGACCCCAAGGTGCACAGCCCCACCGGCTATACTGGGGCTTGCTCGGCTTAGTAAAGGGTTGCCAATTCATCTTTCTTTTTCAAAATTCCAGGGCTCTTCCAACATTCCCCTGGTGGGATAGTCGCTAACCACCTCTTGATATCGCAGTGCTCTAGTTCTGGTGATACTACTCGTCCCGGCCCCTTCCAGAACAGCGGAGCGTAGCACAGGCAAAAAAAAAAAACAAACAAAAAAAGATGCACAGGATTCCCAAAACCCAATAGGAGAGTCGTGCCTCCGACGACGACCTTATTAGTCTGACATCATTTTGTGATGAGACGCTGTCTTTCGGGTTGTCTGCCCAGGTACGCGCGTAGCAAACACCAGCGATGCACCACAGCAATCGGACAAACCCAACTTCTGACTACCCCTCTATTAGGATGGCGCGAAACCCAGACCATGTGGCAGAAAGACACGCAACCGACAGCAAAAGTCTGCGAGACACGAAATGTTCGACACACACATACTAGATTTTTCTGGGAACGTAAAGCTCAAGCGAATGTTCGAGCGTGCAGTTGGCATTGCAGTATGTTTAGCCAGCAGTTTGATTAGAAGCAGTATCCACTAATATAGCACAAATTCGCATGTGGTGTGGAACCAACGTCCCGCAAACTTTCGGTGCAGCGTGTACGCTGGTTGAACCGACCCTTCAAGAGCCACGAGATGCCACGAGACGCCAATCGCATGTGGCAAGATCGATAAGACGACGCATGCCACGGAAAAATGGAATGAACCGCATCCCCGTTTTTCGCCACTCCACGCGCTCAACATAAAGAGAAAGCAACTCGACCGTAGCAACCTGCAAGACGACAACATACATGAACACACGTACGCCAGACCGTGCGCAATTACCTAATTGCTCGCGTGCAACGTGGAAAGCACTTAAATAATTGGGAAAGGTGAGGGGGTGAGGAGGGAAACGGCCACTCGCTTACCTGCGTTTCGACGAGAAAGAGAAATTAATGCAGGCAGATATGCAGAAAAAAGATGGAAAGACACGCCTTATGGCATCGTGATTTAACTGCTGTCTCAGTTAACTTGATGCAAGGATAAAGCAGAGAAACGCTAAGACCATGTAATGTTTTTCTTTTTTTCGACTGAGAGCAGCAGAAACGTGACACAGATCGCTTTTGTAGTGAATCAGAGTCGTTTGCCAGACTTTGATCGTGACGGTCATGGGAGAAGAGTGTTTCCATAGGCGAGAGAGAGAGAGAGAGAGAGAGAGAGAGAGAGAGAGGTGGTTTTGGGGTAGGGGTGAAGTAGGAAGGGGGGTTGTCCTTTTGAGCGTGACCGAGCAGGAGAAACGCACACGGGGAAAAGAGCCGGCCACCGACTATTCGGGCCCTTATTAGCCTTCTTTTAATGATCTTCACTTTTATACATCGAAGGTCAGGGCTGCCGCCAGCGGCCATGCGATGAGGCGAAGGGATCGGCTCGTCCAGCATTCGCCATTTAAGTATTCTATCGCGGCGGCTGTACAATAGTCGGCGCAGGAGGCCTTTTGAGACTGCGTGCGGGCACACGCCATACACCGAACTCATCGACTTAATAGTTAATGCCGTGAAGTCCGACTAATATAAAACGTAATTGTGTATATATCCCTATCACAATTACAATAGAATCGGAAATAAGTTGCAGTTGCTCGACACGTTAAAAAAGAGTATAACTACTCTACCCTTATCACCTGAAGGGGTGTGGGAGGTCAAGTCTGCCCCATTCTGCCACTTAATCAGACAGCCCCGTCACTGCTTATTGAGCAGGGAGGTAAAGTTTACTTACCACCTTAACCCCTCAAGAGCTAGAGACCAAAGCCAGGTCGTTGTGAAAGCACGTCATCGCTTCATTTCAATTTTTTAATCGGCTTGCTAAGCTCATTTGATGCCAGGCTGCAACAGGAGAAGGGAGGTCACCGAGTTGAGACTCCTCCTTCACCTCCGACAACGGATAGCCCTGAAGAAGATCATGATCGGACCACTACTCTTGTATCTACATAGTCGCTTCTATCGGTGGATAATGATCCATTCAGTCGACTAACTCAATCTTGAACACCATGTTTCCGTCTCGGAGGAAGCCGGTATTCTTCAGGAGATCTAAGTCAGCCCAAAATATGTGGTGGAGATGTCCCAACGGGCCTCCGTAGCGAACACAAGAACAGTTCCCATCGAAGCTCAGTTTCAGATCCAAGTTCTTCGATCTCGAGTCGGGGTGCCACGCCGTCACCTGTCGAGGAGGCGGAAGGCACTGCGATCCCGCCAGCTTTCCGTCAAGCTGAATATCTAATTCAATATTTCCCTTACGCTTAGTCACGGTGAGCGACAGGTCCGTGTCACTCATGTGTGGTACGGTGACCTCGGCGAGCTTTTTTACTTCATCATAGCACGCGAACATTCCCTCAGCGTTATCGAGGGTCAGCAGGTACGTCACGCTCAAAACTTCACTACACCACCTTCTCGACGTCGATGGCACGTTGGTCAGACTTAGAGAGCCCTCGTCGCTGGTGGCAAGGAGTTGGCAACGAGCAACGAAAGCAGGGATGGGAGGCCCGGATTGAGTCATGGCACATTGCAGCGCCGAGAAATCCACACTTTTCATCTGTCGACAAGATCTGGGGTTTAGTGTCGAAGAAGGTATGGGGACTGCTATCCCACCCGCCTGGGAGTGCTCCTCGAACGCTCGGATCTGTCGGGCGATCCTGGCCAACGAGAACTTCTTGGTTCCTCACGTGCTCCGTGAGCTCGTTCATTTGGCTCTGAATGGCGGGCAGGAGTTGGTCCAGTTGGAAATCCCTCAAGAACGTCTTCAGGTCTTCCATGGCAGCGTTCAGGCTTTGGGTTGTCAGTTCCGTAGACACCGAGGATGAGTGGTTTCTGGTGGTTGAAGCATTAGAGACGCTACAACCGGCCTGCATGGTGCGCTAGAATGTCTTTGTGTAATACGCTTCCGTTGCATGTAGAACACTCGACTGTGTGGAATGCGCATTCGTTCTCGTAGTGCCGCAGCATATCTCCAACGTTGCCCACGTATTCGCATCCCTGATCTTCGTTCCAGCAATAAACCTGGATACACAGAAAAACAATCAATTTTTTGCAAATTTATATATATGTTTTCAGTGTATGCACCCCCCTCCCCCTCAAGGCAATCCCGCTATACGTACAATTTCTAACCAGTGTCATCACTAGTGAGAGACGCAGTATCTATTTCTAGCACCTGGCATTTTTTAACCTGCTGCACCTAAATATAAAAGCCCACGGGCCTTTAGACTTTTGTCTCCACCGAAATGTGGCCACAGCGTCCGGGATTTGATCCCGCAACCTTCAGGTCATCAGCGTAGCATTATAACCAGTAGACTGTGAGGGCCAGTGGCACAGACAAGGAGACCACGCACAAGCACCAGCTTCAAGTATCATTTCTTCCGCCTCGTCATTAGGTTGGCGTTATACAAACTAACAATGAAATGCCAACTAGCAACATTCATGACATTTTTACTGCACCGAACTCCACCCCATTGATTAGAACCACGGGCAGAGCTTCGATACAGTAGCGTGTCCCATACGTCTTCATGCAACTATTCGTAAAGGCTAATTTTCACCTCACCCTCGGGACCACACTTCCAGAGCATAATCATGTGCACCGCATTGATTTAGAGTAGTTTACGAGTTTCGGTCTGCAAGGTTCTGCATCGCGTTGCAAAAGACAGTTGCCAGACCTTGTTAGCTTTGGATAACAATCAAGCTGGTGTAAGCGGCCTATTCCTGTCGACCCAGACTCTGGCAGAAGTTATGCACAGTAATTAGTCAGAACCGCGAGGCAGCGCAGCGTAAGTTAACGGCCCACAACTCACACGCCAATCATTGACACTGTCAAAGTAGCGATATCTTAAATGGCTCCTGAAAAATTCCGAGTTCAAAGACGACAAAGTGAAATCCTTGTCGTCTTTAATAACCTTTCTCTTTTCCAATTATTAGCCACAAACTAGATTTAGTTAGTGTCCTTTTAAAGAGGTCATGTCACTGTAAGCTCACAATTCGTGATTTTCAGCGAGAAGTAGAACCAGAGGGCCTACTGGGCCAACACGTATGTGAAAAAGGCACTAAGAATATTCCAGTACAGATAAGCCTAATAATTATTAGTCTGTGCCTATAAAACCAGCCCACCATTGGTGACCGCCATTTCGCCAATTGTGTGACGTCATGTGCAGCACGGTGCAGTGCCACGGCCAACCAGCTTCAGCCAATACAAGTATTTCGCTTTCAATGTCGCGCTGAAGCTGAAGAAAGCTGAAGGGGCACGATTGCACCAGCAGCTGTCCGAGAAAACGGACTACGATGCGTAGTCTCCCCACTGAATTTTCATCAATACAGGTGTCTGGCACGAACAGCGGTTGATTGATTGATTGATTGATAAGTGAGGTTTAACGTCCCAAAACTACCATATGATTATGAGAGACACGGGCCTACAACATTTCCAACAGACACGGTCCTAAAACAGACACGGGCCTACAACAGACACGGGCCTACAACAGACACGGGCCTACAACAGACAAGGGCCTACAACAGACACGGGCCTACAACAGACACGGGCCTACAACATTTCCGCCTCCATCGGAAATGCAGCCATTGCAGCCGGGATTTGATCCCGTGACCTGCGGGTGAGCAGCTGAGTACCTTAGCCGCTATACCACCGCGGAGGGGCGGTTTAACGTCTCTAAACCACCATATGATTATGAGATACGCCGTAGTGGAGGGCTCCGGAAATTTCGACAAGCTGGCGTTATTCAATGTGTACCTTTATTTAAGCTCACGCGACTCAATCATTCTCGCCTCTGTTGTAAATGCGGCCGCCACAGCCGGGATTCGATCCCGCGACCTGCGAGTCACAGCACAGTGTCCTATATATAGCTACTAGACCACCATGCGGGGTGTCACCCAGAATCTTGCCGCACCGATTCACGTAGATTTGAAGTTACGCGAATCGGATTTGAACGTTCCATTCACTGGCTTCGTCGATACACTTACCTTCACACTCTCAGCTTTCCTCGAAGGAAAGTTGACGGCGACGCACTCGTCTTCCTCTGATGGCTCCTGGTCCAGGGGACACAGCGCGCTGCGAGCTTGCCGGTTGGTCGCATGGCAGTCCTCGCACAGGGCGTGCAAGCAGGACAACAGGACCGTACGCCTTGGGATCGTGCGGCAGACGCAGCATACGCGGGCGCTCGGAATCTCGTCGACGAGCCGCGTACGACGCCAGTTGACTCCGGTAACGACGTGGTTGCTAAAACGGTAGTACACCCCCCTTCGTGCTGTATCGGGCATGGCGCAGTGTATATAAGTACGGCAGCAATCTCGTTCTGTCGCAAGAACGTAGCGGTAGTGGCTATTCCAAACCAACGCTCGTTGCGGGCGTGAAACGATAAGATAGGCGAGGCAGCGGGCGAAGGGGTTGAGTAAAGTCACGTGGGTGACGACAGCGGCGGTGAAAGGCACTTGCGACAGCTATAGGCTATCAGTCGTGGCTGCGCACGCGCATAAGCGAGCTAACTAGGGCATGCTCTGCACCATGACCTACTACACTCCTGACCTGTTCAGATAGCGGGGTTCCTATGGGAGCGCGTGTCCCCGCTCTCGTTCAATCGCTCGCCGTAGGTGGCGCTACCTATAACCTGTTCGTCTGCTTCTTTACGGTTGTTTTGTAGGCGCTGGTATAAGAATGCCTGCTTTCTGTGGTGAACTGTCGGCATATATGTGACTATTTCTTCCCATACATTGCTGGTCAAGTAAGCTGTTCAGTGCGCTTAAGAATTTATAGCACACTGGTTGACAAACGTGGAAACCCGTGGATTTACATGATTTTGGACAGCCTATGCGTTGTCGCGTGCATTTTATTGCAAAAAAAATTCTGAATGTCTTTTAGTATTATTATTTCTGGATATTTCTAAATTGTGGATCATAAATTCGCACTACGAGTGCTTTGTTGGTTAAAATTTGACTACAAAGAGTGAAGGTGACGTCAGCGAACAGGTGCTGCCTAGCGCCACGCCGCTCGTAGGTGACGGCCCTAGCGGCAGAAGGTATGAACTAGAACGTGGGCGCTGGAAGAGGTGCTCTCTGGGCAGGTCAGGAGTGTAGTAGGTCATGCTCTGCACATCCCATGTGCCCATGCACACCCGCAGCCGCGAAAACTCCGCGATTGCCACAGAGGGCGAGATCAATCGTGGCGCATTCCATGAAGAGGCGTCTATAGTGGAGCTATATAATTAACCAACGCCTCCTAAAAAAAACTACGCCTGGAACGCGGCTCTCCAATTGAGAGCTTGCTACCAGTCTAAAATCTTGGAGGTCATGCCTCCTACCGCGTGTTGCTACCGTCCGCCGCGTGGAACCACTCACCTCCGCACCACTCTGTCACGTGACATCACAGCTGCTCGTAGGCAACGGTGAAAGCATCGCTGTGTTCGCAGAGGGCGACCGCCAGAGGCGTTCGCCTCTGTACTGGAGGGAAGCGCACATATTCCTCCACCGTGGGGGAGGGTAAGATCTGAGGGTAGGGCAGCGCGTTCGCGACTCACGTTCTAGGCATGATCTTTCTAGGAGGCGTTGAGTTAACATATGAGGACGTTAGCACTTTATAGGGGATGCGTCGCCTTTGATTTATATGTGGGGTTTAACGTCCCAAAACCACCATATGATTATGAGAGACGCCGTAGTGAAGGGCTCCGGGAATTTAGACCACCTGGGGTTCTTTCACATGCACCCAAATCTGAGCACACGGGCCTACAACATTTCCACCTCCATCGGAAATGCAGCCGCCACAGCCGGGATTCAATCCCGCGACCTGCGGGTCAGCTGCCGAGTGGCTTATCCACTAGACCACCACGGCGGGGTGATGCGTCGCCTTTCAACAGGACTTAACTTCTATTAGCGCGGCACATATGAAAAGGAAAGAGGAAAGAATACAGAGACGTCAAGACAGGTAGGCGCTAAACTTCCAACTGTTTATTTCATGCACTTGACACCCATCTTATACATGCGTAGAAACACGACTCATCTTGCACGTGGTGACATCCCAAGAAACGTCATTTCCTTATCTGTCAAAGCAATCGAAGGTGAACTCACACACAAGTTCCCCATTTTTTCTATTGCCTCGGCTTCTTTGATCTCACGTGTCAGCTGATTGCGAGACCGGCTGATAACGGTGCAGCTATACAGATCAGGGGAGCACCCACACCCCTTGCAGTGCGCCGCCAAGAACCCTCCCGCTGAAAGTTTATTTCTCGCGTTGTAAGCATGTTCCCGCAGTCTATCATTAAGACACCGCTTAGTCTGTCCTATGTAATATCTTCCACACGATAACAAGAACACGTACACAACGCAACACACACAATCTACATATCTAACCTGATGTTTCTTATCACATACTAAGCGAATAGAACTAATTGGGCAGGTCAACTTGCAAAGCTCCCCTAGTTTTTTGGGGGCTGAAAACACCACACGTACGTGAGCCCGCTGGGCTACCTTCTTCAAGTTATGAGAGACAGTATGCATATATGGGATTACGCCTATTCTGCTACCCGAACACTCCAACACTTGTTGCCTATCTTTCTGTGAAGCTTTGAGGATACGCTCAGCTACAGAGACCTGCAGCAGAACAGGGTACCCTGCTTCGGTGAGACGCTTACTCTGAGTCATGAAACTGTGTGCCATTTTGTGATGACACGATTTTGCTAGGGCGTTTTTAAAACACAAGTTTGCGATTCCTCTCTTTATAAGCTTAGAGTGCGCCGAGACAAAAGAAAGCAGAGGCTTATTTGCCCGTGGCTCATACGACCAGCAAGTGTGATTTCCTAGAAAAAACAACCGGATATCCAAAAACCGCAGAGAGGCACCTTGGGGGAGCTCGCAAGTAATATCAAGGGGTGCGAGACATTCCTTAATCGCTGGTAATACTTCTTCAACCTTCATGGGTGTCAAGTGCATGAAATAAACAGTTGGAAGTTTAGCGCCTACCTGTCTTGACGTCTCTGTATTCTTTCCTCTTTCCTTTTCATATGTGCCGCGCTAATAGAAGGGGTGCGAGACATTCCTTAATCGCTGGTAATACTTCTTCAACCTTCATGGGTGTCAAGTGCATGAAATAAACAGTTGGAAGTTTAGCGCCTACCTGTCTTGACGTCTCTGTATTCTTTCCTCTTTCCTTTTCATATGTGCCGCGCTAATAGAAGCTAAGTTCATGGATAACCAACTCGCCCGAGCCACAACACTTTTCAACAGGAGTTTATTCGACCAAATGTTACGAAAATGGGGGGGGGGGGATGTTTGCAAAACGAGGGTTGAGAGAAATGTAACTCAATAAACAATTGTATCGGGCCAGTTGGCAAAGATCCATCTTGCTAGGAAGCGCAGCCACTATTACACAGAACACACAAAACAAGTGCTTAAGGAATTAAGCGCTTGTGTTATGTGTTCTGTGTGTGGCGCCGCCGCCGTTCAGGACTAAAGAGAAGTTAAGGAGCTCAGTGTCCTGAGCGTTAAATAGTATAAATACGCAACCCTAAACTTCCCATGGTGAATTAAACACGGTAAAACTGATACATTCCTCGTTTTAGTCCTTACATTTGTAAGTTTTTACAGACTACTGCAATAGCGCATTCTATATATGGTTTTTGGGCTATCACGGGGATAAGGATCACATATGTGAGAGCTACGAGTACTCCAAGCATAACAAACATAAAACATCTGTATAAATGACTGAGGTGTGACCAGTTATTGAAACAGCGCAATAACTTTAAACCTTCAGCATGGTGACGTGCTTACAGCGGGATAAGGTTCATTAAAAAAGGTTTGAGAAATACTAAAAAAAAATTATGTGAAATCTGTGGCGTCATACGAACGGATTTGGGCTGTACAGACTGTATACACTAAGTCTTGTGAATATCATTTTTCTAAAAAGGGTTCAATATTTCCCGTGCGCCTTAAAAAATGATCGGATCAGAATTTTACAAGTCAGTAGCTTAGTATCATCAGCCAGCACACGGACACACCTTTCAAGATAACTTAGCTTCTCATTGATTTATTGCATATTGTTTCAGTGTCGCACATGTTTGCGACAAAAATGATTGTAAGTGAAAAGAGGGCCAAGATATTTTTTACATACCGTTATATTCAGGAGTACACCATAATTGAAATATTACGAGAAAAGTGATGGCATTAAGGGTATCGTTCATCGCATGACATGGCTTCGCTGAAATTAATACTTCTTTGCCAAGGGTTACACCATGACAAAAAGTGTGAAATTACGCCGTCGAGAACGATATGATCTAAAAGAGAGCCAATTGCATGATTTAGCACGCATGTCTGCGCAAAAACGCATATTGATGGTAAAAGTCTACGGTAAGTCGTTAGCGTAAAAGAAGGTAGTGTGGCTTTTCCACCCGAGTTGAAGACGTCGTCTAACGCGTCTCGCATACCTCCACGTAACCTGTACAGCTTGAAATGTTCCTTCGATTTGCTGATGTATTTCACCGTTTAGATACAAGTTCTAATTTCGTACAACTGTTGTTAATAAATATAGTAGTAAGCTTATTTTGGCGATGGTAGTCCCGTGTCGTGGCTTCCAATGTAACCACAGCAGTAGGCACGCTTCGCATGTTTTTTTTTTTTACCTAGTTGTGTTGTAGTGATTGTTCTTCTATATCCATGCAAGTATCAACTAATTAATAAGGGATTGATAATGAATTATTAATTAATTAATTTTAATTTGTTCGTTTGTTCGTTCGTTTAGGTGTGTGCCTGAACTTAAGATATCGATCCAGGAACCATCCTACCCAGAACCACGTCACCGCTTCGCAAGCACGCTTCATGAGACAACCTTGTTTGTACTGCGTCTATCTCATGCCATAACGTTGGTTATCGAAAAAGAAAATATAAACAGGAAATAAACCACGAAAACGAATAAAGAGGTGACAAAAAACAAAATTAACGTGACCGAGGCATAGTACGAGAATTACACAGACGGCAGAAAGTCCAATGGTTGACGAGAATATCAGACCCGCATATACATGGCTGGTCCACGACCCTTTCAAAAACAAGCAGCAGCGAGCATTGGCCAAATCTTGGCTCGAGATTAACCTCTTGCAAGTAATTACCATGTGCATACTATATAGCTGGAGGTAGAGAGAATAGAGCGAAGTTGTTCAAGCCCACCTACACCGCCACGGCAGAGCCTTTCGACGATTTCGCAAGCTGGCCACAAACGTCTACGTCACGCCTTGCGAAGCCAGGCAAAACATTCGAACCATGGCGGCAGCAGCCACTAC